ATATAATAATAATAAATTTATACATCGAACGAACAAGTATACATATTGGTTGACCACTTACGTAAAATCATTTATGTTAGATCCACTTGATCCGTATTGTTTGCTACGCTCGGATGAACGTGATTAGAGTTATATTAGTACTTCTTAGAATAATTTTATTTTATTTTTTTTGAAAAAAAATAGATTCCAAATATTTACAATATTTGGATAAACTGAAAATGTATGTACAGAACTGAGTAGTGAATCATGTCATTAAGAAAAGGCAGAATATATGAGCCAATTGATATCAGTTTAGGATCTTTGAAAAAAATAAAAAAAGTATTTTTGGTTTTGACACTATATGTAAACCTTTTTCCAAATAATACCAGAATTATTCAACAAAAAAATTATGAATATGGTCTGATGAACAAAACTTCTTTGGAACCTTCTCATACTTCATCTGTTCATCATCCACCATATGGTTTTGGTATCCACAAGAGAGTGTCAAATCCCCAAAGCTCACTCAGTTCATGCAATCTTAACAGTAAAGCTGGCTCAATAGATCCACTTTTGACATCTATAAGTGACTCTTTTGCAGCATACAGAAACTGAATGCCCAGTGAAGCTATTGGTAGTTTCTATGGATCACACTGTGTGAAGCCTCCTGCCAGAAAAGAAGTTGCGACCAAATCAATATATTGTCGTGCACTTTTCTTCCTCAGTCTATCATCTTTAATGAAAACAATGGAGTAAAATAGTGTGTGTAATCAGTGAAGAATTGTGAGTGACATTCTCATTCTTCTGCCATCATCTTTTCTGCTAAATGATTTCCAGGATAGATTGTCAGAAACATCACATTCATAGATTAGAATTCATAAGATTCAAATAGAATGAGGCTGAGGGAGGATTAGAATACAATCATCCAACTCGATGTTTGAGAGGTGGAGGATATGGATGGGGGTGAATGACTACGAGATGCTGATAACTACTGACTAGCAAAGAGGTTCCTTTAGCTTGCACTAGCCATTGTTGTCACTGTTGTCGATGCTATTGTTGTTGTCGTTGGTATCATGGTGATTGTGGTGGTTGCTGCCACCACCTGCAACATCCATCCTTTTCTTCCTACTGTTGCTACTACTACCATGGTGGTGGTGGTGGTGGCTCTTCAGCTGCGACAGCTCCATCTGCGTCTTCATCAAAAACTCCAGCCTCTGCAACTCCAGCTCTCTCGTGAACTCCATTCGCTGCTTCTCCATCTCCATTGCCTGCCGCAGCTTCGAGCTTTCCACCCGCTCGTACACCTCCCCGAACCGCAGTATCGCCCGCGTAAGCTCCCGCAGGCCCGCCGTCCTCCCTTCCTCCTCCTCCCCCTCTCCCTCCTCTGGCTCTTGGCGCTGCCTCTTGCCGTTGGCTTCCTTCGGCGGTGGCGGCGGGAAACCGTCGGAAGAGTCCGCGGACGAGTCCGCTGATTTGGAGGACACCGATGGCGGCAACGACCTCGCCTTGTTGAGGGCCGGGTGGCTGGACCGGTGCCGCTGCGGGATGAGCTGGGTGAGGCGGGCCGGGGGCCGGATGGGGATGCCAGCGGGTATCTTGGTGCTGGAGGGCGGCAGGGCGCCGGTGGGCTTGTGGTTGGGACCGAGGAGGAGGTCGAGGCGGTGGAAGAAAGGCCAGGAGGAGGTGGTAGAGCTGTCGGAGGCCGAGATCTTGGACTTCTCGATCTTGTACTTCTTCTTCAGGGTGTCGATGCGGTTCTTGCACTGCACGTCGGTCTTGGGGGTCTTGGTGTAGCCGTCGCGGCTGGTGACGGCGTCGGCGACCTCCTGCCAGTGCTTTTGCTTGAGGTTCCCACGGCTGAGCTCCAGGAAGCGCTCCCCCCACGCGTCGATCAGGGTGGAGGTGGCGCCCTCGCTCCAGCAGTCCTCTCGCCCGCCGCCGCCGCCGCCTCCTCCTACTACGGCGGCGGGGGAGGGGCGCTGCTGCTGTGTGGAGAGGGCAAGGGCGAGGGCATGGTACGGCGGCGCGGCGACGGTGACGGGCTCCGCGACCCGGCCGTTGCGTACGTGGGGCGAGGGGTCTGAGGAGGGGGGCACCACGGAGACAGGGGGTGGCGACGACGTCGTCGACGGGGATCTGGAGGCGGATTGGGACTGCGAACGCGACGGGGACAGGGCGTCGTCGTCGTCCTCCATCGTCGACGCCAAGATCCGGGCTTTACCGCGGCAGCGAGGGAGGCC